TGTGTGTGTGCGCGCACACACACACACACACACACACACACACACACAAGCTGAATGGATAAACACCAACTTCCTTGTGGTCTTAGCATCACTAAGAAATGATGTTGAGAGCTGATTTCTACTGAATATATTTGGACCAACGTTTATATTTCCAAATTCCCCCTTTTTTTGCTACAGAGAACACAACTCTTAAATAAACAGGACCCTTTCAATAAAAGATCAGCAAATGTTCTAGGATGTATCTAGCCAGTTATAAGAATATGTATAAACTGCAGTCTCATATTTTTAAATAAATCATGGTGGTTCACAATAAAATAATTAAAACACCACAAAAATATAAAATGCGGAACAGATGACCAGCACCAAATCAATTTAATTCTCAAGAAATGCTTGCTGAAACCAAAAAGTTTTCAGCAGGTGATGCAATATCAACATTGTAGGTGCCTGTCGGATTTCAATAGAAACAGTGTTCCAAAATACCAGCACCACTATTATAAAAACCTTAGTTTGCATAGAAATGGAACAAATATGAGATCATTGTGGAGCAGTCTCCTTTGTTTGGAAATGATGAGACATTTCACCTGAGCAAGAAGTTCAGTCTCCTGGTTGCCGAGTGCCTGGCAACTAATTAAAAAAGGTTTGTAAGGAAGGAAATGAAGTTAGATGTCAACCAGAAGATCAGAAAGATGTTTGAGAAAAACACTTCATTCCTGCAGAAGCTATTTGGGTCTGGGGAGAAGTACTGTCATTGGAGGAAATCTAAAATGGTGACATCTGGGCCAAGCACAACAGCTTGTGATAATCATTTATCATCCTCACAACGTGGTGGTCTTCCTGTCTGGTACATTGGATGGGGTGGTTTTTTTTTGCCTCCTTTTCCTTTGCAGAGAGGGAGAGCATAACCACATTTAGCCAGACAGGTCAGCCAATAGGAGGAAGGAAGCAGGTGGTCTTATAGTGCTTATGGGTATCCTTGGTCTTAGGAGAGTGTGAAGAATTTAGTTTCTGGGAATTCTAATGCAAACTGATGTCTGTCCTGGCTCCTGTCCATCCCTAGGTTGTCCAGCTCAGCTCACAGTATATGACGTACTGGCCCACAGAGAACTACTCCTAGCCTATGGGTACTCTTGTAATGCCTCCCACAAAACTGGAAAGTTCCTCCACTGAACCACACAATGATTTGGTTGCAAAGCACAGCACACAATCATTCTCGACACAAATAGCCCTCATTGGGAAACAGCCTAAAGATCTATGCTGCTTTTAGCAGAGAGATCAGATTTCCATTAATATGTACTTTGGAGAGTTTGTATGAATGGGTAACCTCAGAATTATGTTACAAATGGCAAGGTGACAGTTTGCAATTGTATATGCATTATGTTGTTAAATAAACTGGGAATTAACGTGTGGGAGGAAATGCCAGGCCAGGTGAAGTGTTACTCTAACTGCTGTGATTGCTTCTTCACAAGCTGGCACCAACTGTTTGTAATTCTAGTGCTAATGCTGTTTCTTTCTCTTCTGCATTGTCAAACCTTTTCCCCACCAGTGAGTTTTCACTTGAGAAGCACTGATGAAACAAAACTGCAGAGTAGTCATAGCACCTTTTGGTTGGTTGGTTTTATTTATGAGATTAATATTCCACATTTTCAACACACATTCCTTTCCAGAGTGCCTTATAACAGGTTGGGGCCCCCCGATACATTTTTACTTAGAGTAGACCTGTAGAAATCCATGGACCTACATTGATTTCAGAGGGTCTACTGTGCATGTGTCTAACATTAGATACACAACTGAAGGAAAAGATGAAAGCAACACAGTCGAGCTGTCAAATTAAGCAATATGATGTAGGACTGACTTGTGATGGAGCCGAAAATGCACTAATAGTAGTAGTAGCAATAGTAGTATTAATAGCAATAGTAATTCGTAGTACCCAAGGTTGACCAGGTATTTTTATATCTGAGGCAGAAAATCCCACATGTAGCTCTGCCTTGTAATAAAAATAAATAATAAAAATAAATCAAAGGAGAATATCTGTATGTGATTTCCCCCCAAAAAATTCTCCTAAAAATTTATCAGCATTTTTCTGCAAATTTCTCATACTCATTTTTGTGTGCTTTCCATCGAATACATGCTTTTGCAAAGAAATATCCTTTAATATAAGGCATTTTTTGCATATTATTTTCATGAATATATGCATTTTTGTGCACACTACCTAAGTAAATGCATTTTTGTACACGTTGCTTGGCTGAAGAACTGCAGTGCAAAATTCAGAGAAGTGTGAATTCAGAAGAATGACTATATTTCAGTTCTCAGATTGTTTTGCAAAGTACAAATTAGGTAAGTTCACCATTCAATGAAAACTGAATCAAATTTACATCACCATCCTTAGTAGCAGGAAGGAGAGAAGCAGCCTTTGAGGGTGGGAATTGGGTGTGTCTGAAAGCACAGGGAAAATCTAAAGTTGAAAGGGCAATCAGAGAAAATGGAAGTGATGTGATTCAATACATGAGTTGGAAGAAGGACAGACCATGACCTCTAATATTTCCAATGTCCTTTTAATTCTTATGCCTTCCTAGTATTGCAGTTAGTTATGAGCTTAGGAATCCTGCTTTGCAATGAAATGCCAAGGGATTGCTCTTTGCAAATTTGCTTGGTGCTTGGTAAAATGTTCATCATGCAATTCAGTTCATGCTTTAGCCCCTTACTGAAATTTTTCAGAATAAAGAGGAGAATGAAGTTTTGCATTCAGCATTTTCCATATTGCAAGGTTTTTGCTTGATGTTTTTGTGAGCCTGAATGGCAGAAAAGAAAATCTAAGCTTGATCCTGTAATCCCCAATGGGAGAAAAAGAAATGGAACTGACTGAAAGAAGCTAATGTTGAAAAACTTCTTTTAAACTTCCATAAAGTTAGATGACCATAGGAAGAAATCTCCACATATCTCACATGGCTCTTGGCTGGATGAATGCCACAATACATAGGCATCAGGGAACACTAGGAAGATGTCTACAAGACAGAGAGAATGATTGAAATTTGCAGCATGGCACAGTTTGTTGTTGTCAGTTCATGATTTACAAATATGCAAATAGAGGAAGAGCAGTGATTGGTTTACTGGCTCCTGATGAGACAGAATGACCCTTAACTCTGCACTGCACTGAGAGGACATTTTCCTAATGGTTTCTCCAAGGGGGCTGTGATATTTGCAGTTCACTTTCCCAGGTGAAGGTGGGTCTTTAATCAAACAGATCACTTTCTCTATTTCCTCTCAGATTTCTAAGCAGCTTTCTGATGGAGAAGAGAGAGAGACTCAGGTGTGCTCACATAGAGACAGCTGAACATAAATATAGATAGAGATAGATAGAGATAGAGTTAGAGTTAGAGTTAGAGATAGAGATAGAGATGGGTTGTGCAGGTTGACCAGTTAAAAGTGGACAAAGGGGGTGTGTGAAAAGCAACAACCCATCTTGCACAGTGCTGTCTAATCTCAGTGGCAGGCAATCTAGGAAAGGAGGTGAACACTAAACAGCTTCAGCCCTGAATACATGAAGGAGCGTCTCCACCACCATCGTTCAGCCCAGACACTGAGGTCCAGCTCCGAGGGTCTTCTGGTGGTTCCCTCACTGCAAGATGTAAAGTTATAGGGAACCAGGCATAGGACCTTCTCGGTACTGGCACCCGTCCTGTTGTAGCACCCTGCTTGTGGTTAACGCTTAGCTGGAATGAAATATTCAACGCAGCAATAGAGAAATTAAAATAATAATTTATTTGTCAGACAAATAAATGAGAGACACAGTGGTATATGGATACCAAAGCTCTGCCTACTCCAGCCCTGATGGCCAGCACTTATATTTCCTCAGCCCAGCCCCCTTGCTCCTCCTTTGGCTGCCTCTATCCAATCAGCCTGGTTGAAATTCCTATTGGTTGTTTGCTAGAACCAATCATAAAAGATACACCCATTTCCTATTTCCTTTTATGGGAGACAAAGAGCTATATTTCCTTGTATCCATAAATGGCAGACAAGTAGCCATATATCTTACATTTACCTCGACCAGGCACCTCAATTACCAGATAACCTTTGGCCCCTGTTGCCCTATTCACTGCAAACCAGATGGCTAAAGCAGATGGTGCATGGTTTTTAATTTTTTATCTTAAAGAGATCTTGAGTTCACCTTCTCACCCACCATAATAAGAATCTAACATAAGAATCTAACATTTCTTACTTTCTAAATCCTTTGCATAATTACATTTAAGCCAATATATTTCATACATAACATAGATAGATTTTTAGAAGGAAAAGCCTTTTCAAATTAAAGGAATTTAGTAAAAGCTAAGTTCTCTTAAGTTCTCTAAATTCTCTGAAGCTTCAAAACAGCTTGGAGAGAAGCCTTTTCCCTAACCAGCTGTTTCTAAAAGCAACCTCTTCAATTTAACCTTTAACCTTATGGCTCGAGTCTTCTGTTAAACAATAAATTTCACTATTTACCAGCTCTTAATTGTGTTTTTGCAGCTTGATTGTATTCTGGTCAGTGTGACCTTTTTGCTCTCAGCCTGTAATTTCCTTTTACAACCCTGAAATACTTTTTACAACCCTGAAATACTGCTATTTATAGCAGTGGGGCCCTTGAACAGCTGCCAGAGTATTCAGCTGGTCTCTCCCTGGCATGAGAGAAAAATATATTTACAAATATAATTTTTTAAGCTCAAAGCAGATTTTGATCAGATGCCTCACTGTGGAATGCCCTCTCATCAGATGTCAAAGAGATAAACAAAGATATGACTTTCCATAGACATCTGAAGGCAGTCCTGTATTGGGAAGCTTTTGATGTTTGATGTTTTGTTGTGTTCTTCTATATTCTGTTGGAAGCTGCCTAGAGTGGCTGGGGCAGCCCAGTCAGATGGGTAGGGTACAAAAAATAAATTGTTGTTGGTTGTGCCACTGGGCCTGTAAGTAGTATGGATGCTGCCTAAAGCACTAAACAAACTAGAATCTTATCATATGCAACACAATAGCTCAGTTGGTAGAGCAAGAGACTCTTAATCTCAAAGTTGTGGGTTCAAGCCCCATTGCAAGGGGCTGGACTAGATGACTCTTATGGTCCCTCCCAATTCTACAGTTCTATGATAGTCTCTATAATGAATTTTATTACCATTGGGTAAAGATGGTATCTGGATTCCTAGCTCAGCTGCCTTCTTTTCACTGCTGGTAAATTCCAGATATTTTAAGATGTTCTGCTATCCCTCTCCCCTGTCTTCAGCAGCCCTTATGATGGAGCACTGAAGCACAAAGATTTTGTGGAGGCTCTAAAAATATTTCATTCTAGTGCAAAACTATTCATCTTAAAGCTTCCTCCAACCATTTCCTATGTTAGAATTTGAAACATGAGATCTTAAGATGACATTTGTGCAATGTGGAAGAGTCTATAGGAGATATCAGGTATGGAGGATTTTTTCTGGGTGGGTGAAGAGTTTTATCTGTGACTACCCTGGCTAGTCACATTTGTCTGTAAGCTTTAAAGATTTTTAATCATAACCCATGGGATAGTCTTTGATGTACAAGCTTTCCTTTTCATCTCTGCTCCAAAATTCTCTTCTCTGAGCCAAAAATATTCATCCTTACCATAACTGTAGCTGAGATATAATATCATTCACATTCTAAACCAAGGATAGCCAAGTTTGTCTTGAACCTCAAGTGATGGGTTTAGACTTTCCTAGTCCAAACTTCTCAGGGGCTGGGCTACCAGATTCCCAGTCATAGAATCATAGAATTATAAAGTTGGAAGGGACCACGAGGGTCATCTAGTCCAACCCCCACCAATGCAGGAATCTTTTGCCCAGTGTGGGGCTCAAATCCCATGACCCCGAGATTAAGAGTCTCATGCAGAACCTGAGGGCACTCTCCTTCCTTGTGATTCCCAACAGCTGGTATCCAATGCTGCTTAGCCTTTGACATTGTTTGATACTATGGTGTTTAGGGTTGGAAAGCTGATTGTCGTTTAGTCGTTTAGTCGTGTCCGACTCTTCGTGACCCCTTGGACCAGAGCACGCCAGGCACTCCTGTCTTCCACTGCCTTCCGCAGTTTGGTCAAACTCATGTTAGTAGCTTCAAGAACACTGTCCAACCATCTCATCCTCTGTCGTCCCCTTCTCCTTGTGCCCTCCTTCTTTCCCAACATCAGGATCTTTTCCAGGGAGTCTTCTCATGAGGTGGCCAAAGTATTGGAGCCTCAGCTTCACGATCTGTCCTTCCAGTGAGCACTCAGGGCTGATTTCCTTAAGAATGGATAGGTTTGATCTTCTTGCAGTCCATGGGACTCTCAAGAGTCTCATCCAGCACCATAATTCAAAAGCATCAATTCTTCGGCGATCAGCCTTCTTTATGGTCCAGTTTTCACTTCCATACATCACTACTGGGAAAACCATAGCTTTTACTATACAGACCTTTGTTGGCAATGTGATGTCTCTACTTTTTAAGATGCTGTCTAGGTTTGTCATTGCTTTTCTCCCAAGAAGCAGGCGTCTTTTAATTTCGTGGCTGCTGTCACCATCTGCAGTGATCATGGAGCCCAAGAAAGTAAAATCTCTCACTGCCTCCATTTCTTCCCCTTCTATTTGCCAGGAGGTGATGGGCCCAGTGGCCATGATCTTTGTTTTTTTGATGTTGAGCTTCAAACCATATTTTGCGCTCTCCTCTTTCACCCTCATTAAAAGGTTCTTTAATTCCTCCTCACTTTCTGCCATCAAGGTTGTGTCATCTGCATATCTGAGGTTGTTGATATTTCTTCCGGCAATCTTAATTCCGGCTAGGGATTCATCCAGCCCAGCCTTTCGCACGATGAATTCTGCATATAAGTTAAATAAGCAGGGAGACAATATACAGCCTTGTCATACTCCTTTCTCAATTTTGAACCAATCAGTTGTTCCATATCCAGTTCTAACTGTAGCTTCTTGTCTCACATAGAGATTTCTCAGGAGACAGATGAGGTGATCAGGCACTCCCATTTCTTTAAGAACTTGTCATAGTTTGCTGTGGTCGACACAGTCAAAGGCTTTTGCATAGTCAATGAAGCAGAAGTAGATGTCTTTCTGGAACTCTAGCTTTTTCCATAATCCAGCGCATGTTTGCAATTTGGTCTCTGGTTCTTCTGGCCCTTTGAAATCCAGCTTGCACTTCTGGGAGTTCTCAGTCCACATACTGCTTGAGCCTTCCTTGTAGAATTTTAAGCATAACCTTTCTAGCATGTGAAATGAGTGCAATTGTGCGATAGTTGAAGCATTAATTATAAGGTCGGTCTTTCTGGGACTTTTCCATGTATGCAGAAAAGAAGGGAAAGGGAATTCCTCTTGCCTGAGCACCTTCAGTGAGGGCAGCATGAGATGCAACCCAGAAGCCACACTATGGATATCAGACTCTTTATGAAATGCCTCTGAATGAATGAAAAGGGGACTAGAAGTGACTTCATCCCTCCCAGCCTCTGAGTGTTCCTGAACTCTTGAGTTGTGGGAATTATACAAACAAGGAAAAAGAGATCCTGGCATTATAACAAAAAATGCACTTGTTGGACAACTCTGCTGAGCCCTAGAGAACAGATGTTTAAATATAGATGTTAGTGACAATGATGTGCATTGTGAGTTCATGGTACAAGTTGTACCATGACATTGATGTTGTAGCTTTCTGGCTTTTTGCAACATGTGCCTAGTGTTGCACATCATTTTTATAATGCTCATGCCCGCTTTGGTCATAGTGCTGGAAGGTTGCAGTGAACATGAAGAATCCTGCTAGAACTGGTCACAAAAAGGGGTTCTGATGCCTGATTTATGCCACTCACTGTGTTTACAAGAATCTTCACTTGCTTCCCATCTACCAAACAATAGACACCAGCAACCAATCTCCCTGCCTTAAGGAGGGTTGTGGGAATCAGCAAGTTGGGCATGTACCGGTAATTAATATCTGCATGGTGGTGGGGAGGGGTATATGAAAATTTTCGTTTGCTCAATGAATGGATGAATTGAGCTTAAATGTATTCAGGAGCTCAAGCTTAGGGCCAGTTTGGACATTACACAACTGGAACTTCAAGCCACTATAATATACCATCCCTTATTTATGTCCTGAATTTATCTCACACCTGCCCTCCCAAAGGAGCTCAGGGCAGTGAACACGCCCACAACAAAACAATTTTTCAAACCCAAGATTTCAGTCCCTGACACACGGCTTTGCAAGGCAGCTGAGCTTTTAATGTGTTCTTTATATGCTAACATCTGAAATTGGGGAGATATTTTGCTCTTTTGAATTGTAAACCAATTCTTGGTTGCTGAGAATGGAGCTGCGTTTCTCCTGCATTTCAGCTTTGTTTTGGCAGCTTTAAAGAGTGTTTTTCTTCTTCTTAAAAAAGTGTTTATTTAATCTAAGCAAGCCAGTGTGAAGGCTTCAGCATTTGGCCAGTTCCTCTGCTTGGTCAGGCTTTAAATTTCATCATTTCTGACATGATGCTGGAACATCTCTTCATTCCCATGCTTGCCAACTCCACGGACAAGTCCTGAACTACTTAATCAAAATGTTTAAGCAGAACTGAACACAACTGCAAAGTGTCTGCTAACATCCAACATCTTTCAAGTGAGATGTAAAATAAGACTCAGCCAGACTGCCCCTGAGTGTTGTAAAAGGATTCCAGTGTCTATTTTGTGGAATAGTATAATTGTTGTTTTGCTGCTGCTGCTGCTGTTGTTATTAACATACTAAAATGACTCACTATGAAGAATATAACATAACAGGAACCATTATGAACAATAGATTATTAAAACGGGATGAAAAGATCTGTCAATTTCAGTTCTTTCAGTTTCTCATTTTATCAATCCTAAATCAAGTTCTTCACATTTCTGCAGGTATTTGCAATGTTCCATTTGCAACTAAAGAAAAAATCCTCAGGAAAAGTTTTTCAGCATTTTATCATTTTTTGCACCAATTTCTCCCAATCAAACATGTTTTTGTGTGCAGTTTTGACTAGCACACACACCTTTGTAAGCAATTTCTCTCCATATCATGCATTTTTGTATGCTATTTTCATGGATGTATTCATTCATTTTATGTGCACTGCTCTATAATATATGCATTTTTGTGAACTTTTGTTGGAGAACTACACTGCAAAATTTTGGGTAGGTGTGGATTTTGAATGATGGGTGTCCTTCAGTTCTCCTGTCCAGAATTTGACTATTCCTGAAGGCTGGAAGAAATTATGTGTTCTGGAATGACTCACACAAGACTGACAACTCTCGTAAGAGTTACATGCCTAAATCATTGTGTGCACATATCTCCTGGATTATACAGTGGAACCTCGGGTTGCGAATGTGATCTGTGCAAGACGCACGTTCACAAGCCACAATGTTCTCAACCCACAGCGCCACATCTGCACATGCGCGGGTCGTGATTCGGCACTTCTGCACATGCACAAAGTGCAATTTAGTGCTTCTGTGCATGCTTGAGCGCCGAAACCCAGAAGTAACCCGTTCCGGAACTTCCGGGTTTGGCATGGTTCGCAACCCGAAATCGCGTAAGCTGAAGCGTCTGTGACCCGAAGCGTCTGTAACCCGAGCTACCACTGTAATCTGGTGCTACCAACCATCTGACATCTTGTGCAGCACATCTATCACCTTTTCCTAACGTAGCATGAATCAGTCACCTTTGAGGTTGAGTAGGGGTGTTTCTTTTTGTATGTTCCCTGATTGGCCTTGAATACCTCTGTGGCTGAACAGGATTTTGGGGTGGTGTTCCCTGATTGGCCTTGAGTGCACTTGCTGCTGTTGTTTTGCCTACTTCACATTGCAAATATCTGGGATTTGGGGGTATTTGATTTGACTTATATGGCTATCAGAACGGGCTGGTAATGAGGGGAGGGTGGGATTTAGATAAGCTTTTTTTGACCATCCAAGTGTGCCATCATAGTGATGGGATGTTTCCCCAACCTACCCCTTATTTCTATCTGGATGCGCTTCCTAAAAACCCAGTTTAACACAAACGAATGATGAAGGGATCAGTTAAGCATCTGACTTGCTCTCTGGGACTGGGGTGGTCTTGCCCA